CCGGACTGTCTGGCACGCTGGCGCAGCAGTTCCATTTTCGCCGCCAGCGCTGATGCTTCGATATATTCCCTGCTGCCGACGCCGTCGATGTGGGCGTGGCCGTTTGGCTCGCCAAGGTCCGAGTGCTGCTGCTGCTGCGCCCGGCGCTGTTGCTGTTGCTGTTGCTCTGGCTGCCGCGCAGCGGACTGCGCAGCTGAAAGGTGCAGAGGGTGCACTGCTCCGTGTATTGGAGATACGATGCAGCTGCTCCTGCACTCGATCTCAGTGGACGCTGGCGTGGCTCCAGCGCCGCCTTGGCACTCGCTGCGGCGCTCACCCTGCGCTGCATCGAGGCAGCCGCATAGCTCGAACAGCAGTGAAAGGAACGCAGCGGAGCTGCCTCGGTGTCCAGATCCAATTGCAGTCGATCGCTGCGACGCTCCTGCAGCAAGGAGCACAAATAGATGGATTGGCTGGCCTGATGGAACTCCCGCGAGCTGGCACAGCAATGCAACGCAGCGCCAGGAGTAATCTGCTCGTGCTGCTGATTCGGATGCGGCACACTGGAGCAGCAGTAAAGCTTGGACGGATGCTGGTGTTGCTGCTGCTGATGATGGTGCAGTGTTGGTAGATTGGGATTGAAGTGGACACCGTTCTTGCCCTGCTCGAGCAGCTGCTTAGCCTTTGCCTCCTGCGCCTGCCGATGATTCCGGATGTACTCGTACGTCGTCAGGCCCAGAAACGAGATGTAAATGTGAAAGAAGCAGAGATGCAGGAGAAGACCAGCACTGATTGCTGCCAGCAGGCCGAGCACGCCCAGCAGCAGCAAGTAGATCGTCTCATGGACACCGATGCCGGCGACCAGAGGCGTCACTGTATGATTCAGAAGCTGTGGCTTCTGCTCCGGCTGCAACGTGCTCTGCTCCAGCAGAGCCGTAAAGTTTTGCAGCAGCGTGGGCATAGTGGAGACTGTGAGATTAGTGTGATCCTGCTCCTGCGACTGATCCATCTGTTGATCCTGTTCCATCAGCATCATGGTGCCGTTGCTCAAGCTCAGCGTTAAATTGATATAATCAGTTGACTCCAGGGGCAATTCCATTTGATTGCTGCACCAATAGAAGCTCAGCCAATCCGGCTGCACGTAGTAGAGCACGATCTGACCCACAACGGCAGCCACAATGACCAGCGTGGCCACCACAGCACTGACGACGCACATTAGAAAGGCGACATAGTTACGGGAGCCGATGCAATGATTCAGCCACTTGCAGTGATGATCGAATTTACCCACGCACTTGTTACACACCGAACAGTGTTTGGTTCTGGGCGACGATGTCTTTATGTTGCACAGATGACAGCGTCCGTTCTCGATGACATGGCCGTGTTTACTGCGATCAAACTCGGGCACAATGCGATCGTTGCGATGCACGCGTCGCAGCTCCTTGTCAGCGGGATCGGTCAGCAATGCAGTCAAATGGGCCACAATATGCACCACATACAGGCCGGAGATCAGGCCATAGAGTGGCCCTTGAATGGGCGCATGAAAGGCGGGTATCAGTATCCAATAGCTGGCCAAGCCGAACAGGAGTAACACGAGCCAACCGAATAGCTGCAGTGGATGCAATGGCAGCTGGAGTCCATGTAAGCGTCGGCCACGTCTATGCTGGACATCAGCTATGTTATTCTGATAGCTAATCAGTTGACAGAGGACGGAGTTGGTAGTTGGTGCAGGATTCGCAGCAACTCCTGATGCTGGTGCTGCTCCAGCGGCTGCACTTGCTCCACTTGCAGTTGTTGCGGTTGCTGCTGCTGGTGTTGCAGCTGGTGTTGCTGACGTTGCTGTTGCTTGTTGTGCGTAGTGCTTGATGGGCGGCTCCTGTTGTTCTGTCAGGCTGGCAGTGCTGATGGTTATTATGTGATCCTGTTGCTGCTCCTGCCGCTCCTTCTGCTGCTGCTGCTTTGCTAATGGCGTCGCTTTGGCAGCGTTTCGCATGTTGTTGTAGATGATGAAAATGTGTTGGATGATTGAATGATGTGAAATGCTAACAACAACTGGCACATTACAAATGTTGTTGTTGTTATTATTGCTGTTGTTGCTGCTGCTGCCACGCCCACACTGGCGCCTATTTATATAAGCCACATGCAATTATCCTGCGCGTTGTGCACTTCGTTCAATGTTTTCAATTTTTGGTTATGTTTACTATTATTTACCGTTGACTTTTTTGTTCAATGTCTGTGTGCTTGTATGTGTGTGTGAAGCAATGGCGCAGTTAATAATCACGCATTAAAACACGTTTACAAGGGGGTGGTGCGTCTAAGGTTGTCTGTTGTCAGGCTGCCACCCCCATACACCAAGGACTCTTGCTGAATGATTTTCCTTTTGTTGTTTATTTTATTTTTACTTTTTATTGTACTACTACAACTTTTTAACGTATTTGTTTTGGGCTAGCCACACAACACACAAACACAACCACAAACACAGACACACTAGCAATATGGGCGCACACACGCTCTCACGCACACGCACGCAGAGCAATCAGAACGAAGAGAGCGGAGTGAAAGATAGAGTGAGAGCTGTAAAGTAGCTGGTAGTAAAACCGAAAACGCAACGCAACGCAACGTAACGCAACGCAACGATTAAGACGTACCAACTCGCTAGACGGACGCGAAGCAACTGAGCTGTGTTATGTGCGCAAAGCTTTGCCAAAGGCTGCAATTGAAAGCACACGATGCGGCGAGGCGAAACCGAAGCCGAAAAACAGTTTGAAGTTGAAAGCGAATTGAAAGTGTGCGCTCCAAGCTTTGAGCAATTGAAAGCAGCCAACGTATGTATGTATGTTTGGGTTGGTTTGGGTGGTTGGGAGATGTCAACGGTAATAGAGTCAGAGAGCGAGAGAAAAAGAGAGCGACATGTCACAGCTGTCTGGTTGCCGGCAAAGCGTTTTTCGACTTAAAGACAGGCCAGGGACGTCTGCACACACACACACACATAAACGAACTATCTCGATATTTTTGTGTAGGTGTGGGTGTGTGTGTATGTGTTTATGATTGTGTTGGGTATTGCTTTGAGGGTAGATTTTACAGTGTGTGTGTGTGAAAGTTAGTATGGGTGGCTGCTCATATTTTGGAGATGACCGCGTGAGTGTGAAGCAATGTGGAGTAAGTGTGAGTAAGATGGTGAGTCTTTTGGTTAAACTAAAATACAATGATTGTAAATAAGACATAGCTTTTGAATAAATTGTGTTCTGCTAAGCTCAGCTTTGGCTAATTTTTTATGTTTCATTTATAAGCTATTATTCTCTATTAGCATAAGCTTACATCTTTTAGAATGAATATAAATATACCTTTTTCGTTTACTTTTGGCCCATATAAAAAAATGTACGAACAAATGACCACAAAAATTACATACGATATATTTTGAAAATCACTCACGACTCACGTGCACAGTTCTGATTCACCTGGCAAACAGGAAGTAACTATTATATAACGGTAAATGGGTCAGGCTAGGCAAGAACTTATCACCACAGATTGGCACGCACCTATGTTATTTTACTTTTTTATATTTTCTCTTTTTTTAGGATGCTAGGCATCATTTTTTATTTATATCAACGGCCATCCAGGTGTTGTGTGGAAGGAGGCGACGCCGTTTTCGACTGCTTGTTGAAATGGAAAGGCACAGACGAGAGCGTATTTGGAGCACGTACACTTAGTACTTGATGTGATTTTATTTTCCATGACAGCCGTGAGTAGAATTTCTCACACACACACACATAGAGATAAACTTATCGACGACCCACTCACTGAAAGACTGTCAGACAGTCGAAGCTATACGGCAAATATTTATGCTGATGCTGAAACTCTCTGTAACACAGGCACTTATATAAGACATACATAGATATACATACATATAAATACATATATTTGTCTGTATGTATTAAAAAAATGCCCATTGTTGGGCATCTTAGAACAATTCCAAATCAAGCGAAACTAATGGCTGGCAGGACCAAATCGTAAAATTCGAATGCAAATTACCAATACAAGCGTACATACTGACACACACATACTCAAGCACAACATGACGTATCAATGAAATAAAGGAAAAATAAACAACTTTGTTTATCTCATAAAAAGGAATTTGTGGTATTCGAGAGAAAATCTTATAGAATTTGTTGTTGCTGCTATACAGTGGCATACAATTCTTGAATAATTACGATACCTATATATGTATATATATACATGTCAAATAATGGAAACTGTTTAAAAATATGTTAGAGCTCAGATATAAAAAAAATGTAAATCGCTGAGAACAAATTATTCAGAGTATAAAATATTGAAAAAAAAAACTTTATCATATTTTGATTTCTTAAATCATTTTATTGGCTTTATTTAGGTTCAATGAAGCAGCAATATTATTAAATCATAAACAACAAAAAAAGGAGCAATATACAAAATCTTTTTTTTTAAGCAAAATTTGATTGAATCATGGTTGAATCAAATTGCATTCTTTGTAGTTTCTTTTTCAATGTGCGACCCTAGGCAACGATAACAACAAGAACAATGACAAGCACGAGCGAGAGTCAGAGAGAGGGAGAGCGGTAGAGCACTCAAGTGAAGTGACAACAACGAAAGCTTTGATAAGCAGAAAGAAGAAGAAGCGCCACAAACCAAACAACAGAAAACAACAATAAACAAACAAAACGGTAAAAGTAACAAGTAAAAAGGACTAACGGAAGCTGTTAGTTTGCAGAGAGCAGAGAGAGCGAGTCACTGAGAGGCTGAGAGCAAATAAAAGCTCGCACAGTAGGCTTGGTCCAGGGATTCAAGCAAGAAAACAGGTATTCAGACTAAAATTACAATTTAGTTCAGTTCAATTTTGTTCTTTGTTTATTAAGAATGTAATTTCATCGCAAAAAATAAATAAAATCCAAATAAATATTTCTACTTGTATTAACACTAAAACACAAAGTTTCCTTCGAATGCATTTCTGCACGAGTCGATATACTACTAAATTCCATTGGTCTTAAAATTTAGCCATTTGTATTTGCGTTTGGCTGACATAGTGCAATATAGACATACATACAGATATATGTATGTACACTGCAAACAATCATGATCGATATATTATCATTGCCTCGGCGGAACAATGTGACCAGCCAAATGATGACCAAGCAGCCCAGCTATAAGACTGGGCTGCCCATTAACAGTTTACCCGGTTGGGAGTTAATACCGCTCAATTGTAAATTGCCTATGCTCAAGTGTCCTGGTAATCAGGTGATATTCTCAAAGGATAAAATCGGAAACTCGGTAAGATTTTAATTGAGTAAATAGAAATATATAATATGCTGCCTGAAAATGTAAGAAATGAATGAAACTTCATATATGGGTTTCGTCTTGATTCCAGTTCAAATGTAGCATGCAGGAATTCGATTCATCGGTAACGGTTCATATACCCGAATATAATCCGTTGCACGATTCAAATCTGAAGACCTTCTACTCAAACGAGCGTAATTTGAAACGATTACGCGAGAATGGCGAGATAACCGATAACAATGAAGTGATTTGCAATCTAAAGGACTTCAATCAATATCGTGAGGAACTTCATAAGTCACAGCTCTACTATGTGCTGCAAGCGTACAGGCAAAGAGAGGCGGAAAGACATGATCGTATGTTGATTGCCAATGCGGAAGGAATCTCGCGGAGGGATAACTTACAAACAGGTGTACGTCATCAGAGTCAGGAAGAAGTAATGGCTAGGAAACAACAACTTGAAGAGGAGAAACATGAAAGAAAAGTGAGAATCTATAATATAACAGAGGAGAAATTCAAAAGAATGGAGAGCATGTTAGCTATGCAGCAGATGCTGCTCGAGCATCGCAAAATGTTAACCAATATGCGAGTCCAGGCCCACATCAGTCTGCATCAGGATTTGCAGCGTAAGCATCTGATCAAGCTAAAGAAACTGTTCCAGTTCAAGAAGGATCGGTACAACAAGAATATGCGTAATTTGCACAAGCAGCGTCTGACTAAACACACTGAGGGCCAAATACAATCGTGGCATAAACGCCTGCACGAACGTATTGCCAATCAGCGAAGGATCGATCAGTTGCTTAATGAAGTTAAAAAGGAACGCGAATTATTCATTGAGTCGCACAAGGAGAAATATCGTGAGAAGTGGAGACGGATTCAGGAGCAAATCAAGCAGCGTTCCCACAACATCAAGGAGGAGAAGAAGTCCAAAGGACGCAAGAAGAAGAGGAAGAGCAAGAGGAAGAGTAAGGCCGTTGATAGTACGAAGAAGGCGACGCCTTCATTCTGTGATGAGTATCAAGCAAGCTTTGAAGGTCTCCTCGATAGCGAGCTATGCTACGCATTGAATGCAGCTATTGCTATGGGTGGACATGCTCCGTTGACCTTCGATACCGATGATCCCATCTACAAGGCAGCACAGTACATCCTCAATCATATATTGCTCGGCTTCGATAAGGATTTGAGCGAGGATCCGTGTGCCATGTATGTACTATCCGATCGCATTGCGAACTTCTTATGCGATGCCAAGAAATACGTAAACTATGTAAGTTGTGTGATAATACGGGCTATAGCTCCTATATCTATGCATCCTATATGTAAATACCTCTCCCACCCTTAGAAAGCTATTCAGATCATTGGCTTTGCCCATGATAACAAGGCCATGGAGCTACCATCAACACCAACACACAAATCTGGCATGTCCGGGAAGAATCATGCACGTACCTCGCATGTCTCGTTCAATGGGATTGCTTGCACCATTGGCGTGGGCAGCTATGAGATACATCCATTTGTGGACGTGCGTCCTTGCGGGGATCGTCGGCCAACGCCGGCGGGCTCGTTGACCTCGTTGGTCGTCAGCCAAATCGGTGACCAGGTCATACAGGAGAAGGTGCGCCTGCCGCACCTGAACCGCAAGGAGATCATCTTCATTGAGCACTACTTGGTCAAGTTCAAACGGGAGCTGCTCGTCGGACTTGATAAGCAGGTATTTGCTGCCATTCAGTGCCACTATGAGAATCGCATAATGGAGGTGCGCGAAGAGCTGCTCGAGCTGGACAAGGACTTCTTGAACAATCAAATATCTTTGGGAATACTCAGCTACGCGGTGAATCCACTTAATTATGAGACGGCTCTAATGCTGGCAGTCAATGTGATTGCGAATCAAGTCATTTGGGGCCTTCAGCAAACGCTGCTAAAGCCGGGCGCCGAGCCTTCGATCATGCCCCATCCGATCAGCTGTGGCACCGAACGCGAACGAGAACAGCGTGCCCTCTGCACTAACTAGTTAATCACTCTGCCCTTCTTCCTCTCATTTAATCACTACAAACAGAATCCACAGGTCTACGGACACTCTAGTTCTGTGTGCACATAAATTTTATGTAGAAAATATATATATGTTGTGACTTACCGTGTTGAGCGTATCTCCTGTGCGTTTTTCTGTATTGATATTTAACGCGTAATTGCACTTTGCTTCACAAATCGCGAGAAACTCGGGTTTCTTGTAAACATTAAACAAATTGCAGCATGGCACGCAACAGCTGTGAGTTGGCCAGGGCTGCAACACAATCGGTATTTTGACAGTCACAGGAAACGCAGACAACCGCCGGGTTAAACCATTTAAAATTAGTTGCCGTCATAATACTTATACTTTCCAGGAGTAAATGCTAGCCAAAATCTGGCAAAGAAAAATGCGGATTTAATTTCATTATCAATTATTTGATGTGTTCAAAATTAACTAAGTTTACACATGCTCTTTCTATTTAATAATAACTTTATGCTTATATCTAAACATACATATATACAAAGAAAACTTGTATACAAAATTACAAATTATTTAGGAAAACTAAACTGTGCTCCATATGGATACATTATTGGATTATATGGTGCACCAGGAGCTAGCAATGGAAACGGATATGCTGCGGGACCAGATGGCAAGTTCTTAGAAGATAGCTTGGAGCTGCGTTTCCTTTTGATTTTAGTTGTTGGCTTTGCATCAGCGCTGGAATCACTCGATTCTGTGTCAGTGGGATCTGCTTCTTCTAACTCATCCTCATCATCCTCGTCATCGTCGTCATCATCCTCATCGTCGCTTTGTTTTGCCTCTAATTTGATTTTTTTCTTAGGCACTTTCTTAGACTTTTTAGTCAGAGTTCGTTTATCCTTTTTAGTCTTGTTAAATGTTGGAGTTTGTAGCTGGGCAGCTGGTAGCTGTTGAGGTGGCGCTGGGACTGCGCCGCCGGGAAATGTGAAACGTTTATCCATATTAAAGACGGCCAATTGTTGCATGCTAAACTCCATGAAAGCCTGCAGAGCAATATTTAAATTTGGAGGTTGCGGGCAGTTCTTTAAACTGTGATAGGGCGCCGAGCAATTCCTGCAGATCATCTGGCATTCAAAGGAAGTGTGCCCCTATGTAAATAAAGATCATTAGTATAGTAGAGATCGGAGATATATAATTGACCTACCTTCTTATCGCATATGCCGCATATGTGAGACGTCTTGTCTCTGCCTTTGACTTCCGTCTCTACAACTTTGTCCTCTGCATCGGTACTGGCCTCGGCTTCATCCTCATCCTCATCATCATCCTCATCTGGTATTGTGTACTTGCGACTTTCGTTTCCCATACAAACCACATCATCTTCGGATGCACTTTTCTTTGAACTTTTTGGCGATTTCTGGAGAGTATCTTTGACTGATGCTTTTCCCTTAACAACCGCTGGCCTTTCATCACTTGATTCATCCTCGGACGAGGAGGAAGAAGAGGATGATGGCAGTGCTTTATCCTTTGGCTCGGCTTTAACTTTTACCTTGGCGACTTCAGCTTTATCCTTTACTTTAGCCGCTTCAACTTTAACATTCACTTTAGTCGCTTCAGCCTTCACAACTTTTGTCTTTTTCACTACCTCACCAGCTTCGACACTTTCATCGGAGCTGCTGGAGGAGCTGTCTTCGCTGCTTTCCGCTGGTTTGGCTGGCGCCTTGACTGACGCCTCTTTCTTTTCCTTCTTGATGTTGGCTGGATTAATGAGAGGTGCTTGATTTATAACTGCAATTGCTGGGGATGCAGCAACTTCTGGGGTTGCTGCAATTGCTGGGGTTGCTGCAATTGCTGGGGCTGCTGCAATTGCTGGGGCTGCTGTAATTGCTGGGGCTGCTGCAACCGCAGGCGTTGCTTCTTTCGTCGGATCAGCTGTAGGCGTTGCCACTGCTGATGGTTTTGTGGGAGTCGGAATTGTAGTATTCTCATTTTTGTGTTTTCCATTGGGAAAGTAGAATACATTTTTAGGCATTTTCTGGTACCAAGGACTAGACTCATTGCCTCCTTTGTTTTGTTTGTTGCGTAAACCGTATCCGCCTCCGCCTCCGCCTCCGCCTCCGCCTCCATCATGTCCATATCGCGCTCTTCTGTGATTGTCCCATCTTCTGTCTGGACCACCACCTCCTCCTTTACCACGTCCACCTCCACCACCTCCTCCTCCACCTCCACCACCTCCTCCTTTACCACGTCCACCTCCACCTCCACCACCTCCTCCTTTACCACGTCCACCTCCTCCTCCACCTCCTCCTTTACTACGTCCACTTCCTCCACCACCTCCGCCGCCGCCACCTCCGCAACCACGACCTCCGCCACCACCACCGCCGCCGCCATCACGACCATTCAGAGACTGACGAGCCTGTCTTTGCAGTTCGGTTTGATCGTGAAACTTTTTGAATAAATCTTTACTGTGTCCTCGACCAAGACCATCGTGGTTAAAGTTATTCTGTTCATATCTTTTGTCGCTCCATTGACCAGATTGTTGGTCGCCACTATTATTCATATAATGATAATCGTTATGACCAGAATTATCATGCCAATTGCCACCAGAATTATCCATGTCGTTGTCGTTTTCGGATCCGCCGCTTAAAAACCATTCGGAGCACCGCACGTGTTAGATAAGTATCGATGTTCTACAGGTTAGCTAGCATCGATAATGTTTAGCTGTTGTCGATATTTAAAAAGTATTCGATTAAGATAAACAAATAAACATTGCAATTCAACTTTTTATTCAGTTATGTATTAGACCAGTATTAAGCAATAAATTAATAATTTAAATAAATAAAAGTTTAATTTATCTAACCATTCAAGCTTGTTTCCAAATCAAAAAATTGTCAATTTTATATCAATGCCCAAACATCGCATATTAAATATCGTAAGAATCGATATAAATGATTTAATCAATTGTTTATATTGATACAAATTTATTAGCGTGCTGTTTACATCGTACAAACTTTGTCAAAATGTTTAGAGCCGATTTGGAAAAGCTTGAGCGTAATTCCATGCAATTCAAAAGAGAAGTGTCTAAGCGTTCTTTGAATTGGGGCAAACAAAAGTTTAAGCCGAAAACAGAACCATCGCCCATTGAACAGGAGGCCAAACCATGGCATCATGTGAAAAATGAAATTTTAGATGATGAGCATGCACAACGGACCACCAATCGCTTTGATATGCAAAGCCAGGACGCTAAAGAAATGGTAAAGCAACGGGAACAAAATTACCGTCGCAATATAATCGAAACAGGGCGTAAGGAAAAAACCAAATGGGAATCGTTCGACGACAAGGAAACAACGCCCAAGAAAAGATTTAATACTGCCGAGAGAATAATGCAGAATCCCAACAATTTATCCTTTAAAGAACGCAATTTCTTGCGTAGGAAATTAACAAAAGCCGTGCTGAAAGAGAAATCGGGCACTCTGCGAAACGCCATAGAAGATCTACAACATAATTCAGGACTTGTAAGATCGACAAATAAATTTAGAAAGTAATGGAAAATTGTATGAAAATGTTTTGTTTGAAATGAGAAAAATTGTACAATACACAACATAAGTACACTACACACTTTATATAAATCATCTTAAAAATTAGAAAGGAGTATAATGTGAAATGGGGTCTGCAAAATAAATATATATATATGTTTGTAAACTAAATAGTATGCGATGTTCTCTCCTGGGTCTTCCTGCTCAACCATTTGCATTCGCCAATTTCGAAATTAGCTGATTGTATTTACTATTTGAAGTAATGCTCTTTTTGGAGTTGCGCACCTGTTCCGGCGTATGTTGTAAAAAATAGATGACAATAAATTCGAGTGTTTGATTGGCTTCCTTGGGGTACATCATGTTAAAGGTATAATAGTAGCAGATCAATTGGGCAATTATATCTGGTATATCAGCATCTGAAGCTGGAAACGTGCTCATTATTTGTCCCTCAATGTAGACCATTGCATCCGTATGGGCACCCTCATCGCCAACAGATATTGGCGTATCTAATAAAGGGAATACATATTAATACAAAACAAAGCGTTGATCGGGCATCTAAAGTACTTACTGACTAGTGCCACCCAAGGCGCATTGGTTGGATTAATGTGCTGTAGCACATCATTGGGCAAGGGTCCATGATCGTATTGCTTGAATATATAGTCAGGATCCTCATTGAAATAGTATGCCAGTCCACGCACTATATTCGCGTTGTTCTCCTCCAATGCGTTCACTTTCTTATTTTTTGACATTTTAAAGAATTTGAACAAACGTTCCTTTTCACTGGCAAAACGCTTCTCTAACACACGCGGATCAATCGACATTAGCAATTCGAAATGCTGATAGAGCAGTGGCTTATTGAAGATATACGGCCAATTATCCTTGATGGCCGTAATGTCTGGAATCTTTTCGCTATTGTTGAAGAAGGCGCGCTGCAAGGGAAAGCATTCCTTCATATAGTCGTCTATGGTACTTTGCTCCACTTTGGAATCACCACGATAACTGGATATCAGCAAATCTTTCTTCTCTTCAAGATCACGATTCAATGCCAACGATTTGGCATTTCCATTAGATGCCACTGCAGTAGCTGCCGATTTACGTTTCTTACTGCTGCTGCTGCTGTTACTGCTGGTAATATGTAGATCAGCTGTGCTCGAGCTGGCTCGTTTTTGTGGACGATTTAGCGCATTGTTGCGATTGATCATTTTGGAGATGAGAGACTGTGGCGTCGTGGCAATCTGTTGGCCCTCCCGATCCTTTTCCAGCAATGAATCGGGATACTTTTCAGCCGCCTGCTGTGCGACTTCTCGAAATACAAGTAAAGGTATGTGTGAAGAGCGTTCGCGTAGTGCATCGACCAAGAGATTGGCCAACGCATTGAGACGCTTGCCCAGGCTCGTTTTGCCACGCAGCAACTTCATAATATCATTTGGTACCTTACTCCAAGGTATCGAAAACTCCTTAAACGGCGCTGTAGATAACTTTGAATTGCTTGGCGTGACACTAGCCAGCGAGAGAGTCTCATCATTCGATACTGTTGAGTCATTGGCATTCGATACAAAACTGGGATCCAATGAGCTGCCCGCACGCTCTGAACGATTCAAAGGCGAGGGCGGAGGTAGTATAACATATTCATCGCTTTCCGCAAGCAACATTAACAAAATCTTCTCCTTGGCTGCAAAGAGCAACACCTCATCTTCACATATCTCGCAGCCATTGCTTTCCAGTACTATGGTACTTCCAGCCAAGCCGTATTTGTGTGCTATAGAAAAAGTATACAAAAATAATTGTGAATACAAAATTAGTAACTATCCACCATCACTTACCTTTTTCAATAACATCCTTTCTGCTGGGCAATGACATGAATGTCTTTTTAATTTTACGATCGGCACTGCATATTGTTATTAAAACCATTTCACTGCCCATTTCCGATTTCGTTTTTTGCGCCTCGAGCACTTTTCCAGTGTCAACGTTGGAATGCATTTCTGTGTGTGACAGAAACAACAATAATAAACAAATTGAAGTTGTGTGTATGTTAGTGCTGAATGTGTACACACTCTCATATATACTACGTACCGGAGCCTGTGGCTGTGCCCGTCGCTGTTTCAGATTTTTTTGCTGCTGTTTGTACACCATTTTCGTTTGGCGCAGCGGCCGCCGGGGCCGGGGGTTGTGGCTGTGGCTTTGCCTCATTTGCAGCATGCGGCGCTACAGCTGGAGCGGCATCCATGGCTAACAATTATTATTAAAACCCAAAATGCACACACAGCTTTCAATTTCAAATCGAGGCTTCTTTTCTTTTTTTGTATAATGCCCGTGTATAAATTTGCACAAGCCAAACTGTGGCCAGGGATGTAATAAAACGCCACACATCGATAACTTTAGCGCGACTTTGGTCGCTGGCTATCGATAGCCGATAGCTGTACAGCGTAGTGGGTGGTCTGCGGCAATAGCAATCAAACGCTCATTTGTTGCTTTCGTCTGTTCGCGGCGCGTTTACTTTTTATTTTCACTTCTGGCATTTATTTTTGAATTAAATAGTCTGTAAATTTAAATAAAACCAACGCGTTACTTAACTAGCATTGGCAACGCACACACAAAAACAACAGCAAAATGCACTGATTGCGAGATTTCGTTTGGTAGGCCAAACAAGGCGCGACCGTCTGTCTAGACATTAATATTCACAAAAGGCTGCGCTTAATATATATTAATAGGAAAAAATAAATCGCTTGCGACAAATACAAAATGCAATCGTAAGTATGCAAACGGTGTCACAGCCAATTATTAAATTTTGGTATATATACACGTATGTATATATATGTACGTATCTATCTATATTGAAATCTTCGCCTGTTTTCTTTTTGCTAGGAGCTGTCTCACTCTTTGTTGCCTGTTGCTGTCCAGCTGGCTGCCTGGCTGTTTGGGTAGCTTTAGTGCGACTAAATTGAATACGGGTTCAGCTACAGTTAGCTCCATTGATCTGGAGCCCATCAATGGAACCATGAATTATCGATTGTATGGCAAGAAGGGCAAGGACGATAAGCCCTGGTTCGATGGCCTCGACAGTCGCCATATACAGTGTGTGCGTCGTGGACGTTGCCTGGAAGTGAATGGAACGCATAATACATGCTTCGGCTCCAAGCTTCCCTATCCATTGACCAGTCTCAGCTTGACTGACTATCGTAAGGAAAAGGAGTTGAACGAAGCTTTGGGTAGTTATTATGCTCTGCGACACGTACCCAAATGCTGGGCTGTTATTCAGGTAAGATAATCTGCAACTTACCTGCGTATGAGATACTAATGCTTCGCTTTTGCAGCCATTTTTATGCGCTGTCTTTAAACCGAAATGTGAGGAAATTAATGGCCAGGATATGGTCTACCTGCCTTCATACGAAATGTGCCGGATTACCCTTGAGCCATGTCGTGTGCTATATAATACAACATTTTTCCCAAAATTTATGCGTTGCAACGAAACGCTCTTTCCTATGAAATGCAGCAATGATGCGCGAGAGATGAAATTCAATGTAACGGGCAAATGCTTGACGCCCCTCGTGCCGGCTGATAATTCAGCGAGCTATTATCCTGGCATTGAGGGCTGTGGCGTGCAATGCAAGGATCCGTTGTATACTGATGATGAGCATCGACAAATACATAAGCTCATAGGATATGGAGGTACGCTCTGTCTGCTCTCGAATCTGTTTGTGGTTGCTACATTTCTCATCGACTGGCAGAATGCGAACAAATATCCAGCTGTGATTGTATTCTATATTAATCTATGCTTTCTCATTTCCTGCTTCGGGTGAGTGGACTTAAAATAAAACTCTATTGTATAAGCTAATATAATATTTTCATCCAGTTGGCTGGTGCAATTCACTTCTGGTTCTCGCGAGGACATTGTCTGCCGAAAGGATGGAACATTGCGTCACTCGGAGCCTGCAGCTGGCGAGAATCTGTCTTGCGTTGTCATCTTTGTGCTGGTTTATTATTTCCTAACCGCATGTATGGTTTGGTTTGTCTTTCTCACTTACGCTTGGCATTGGCGTGCCATGGGCCATGTACAAGATCGCATCGATAAGAAGGGCTCGTACTTCCATTTGGTTGCCTGGTCACTGCCTCTGGTGCTCACCATTACCACAATGGCGCTCAGTGAGGTCGATGGCAATGGCATTGTGGGCATTTGTTTTGTTGGCTATATCAATCATTCGATGAGAGCTGGCCTGCTTCTGGGTCCACTGTGTGGCGTCATCCTAATTGGTGGCTATTTCATTACACGTGGCATGATTATGTTGTTCGGTCTAAAGCATTTTGCCAACGACATCAAGTCAACTTCAGCGAGCAACAAAATCCATTTGATCATTATGCGCATGGGTGTTTGTGCTTTATTAACAATGATTTTTATACTAGTTGCAATCGCATGCCATGTCACCGAATTTCGACATTCGAATGAATGGACAGAGAGCTTTAGGGAGTATATTATGTGAGTAACTTAACAAAATATTCTATATCCAAACTTAATAACATTAATTCTTTCAGTTGTCGCATCAGCTCCGTTTTTGATGAGAACAGCGTCTGTAAGATCGAGAATCGTCCAAGTGTGGGTATTTTGCAGTTGCACTTGCTTTGTCTATTCAGCTCTGGCATACTTATGTCCACCTGGTGCTGGACGCCATCCTCTATAGAGACCTGGAAGCGTTATATCAAAAAGTGAGTAGCCTCCCAAGCAAGTACTTCTATAATATAGTAATACATTTTCATTTTCCTTTATTAGAAAGTGCGGCAAGGAGGTTGTCGAGGAAGTCAAAATGCCAAAACATAAGGTCATTGCCCAAACATGGGCCAAGCGCAAGGATTTTGAGGACAAGGGTAGACTCTCTATAACGCTCTATAACACGCACACCGATCCAGTGGGCCTGAATTTCGATGTAAATGACTTGAACTCGTCGGAAACGAATGAGATTAGCTCCACTTGGGTGCATTATCTGCCACAGTGTGTTAAGCGTCGCATGGCGTTGACTGGAGTAACGGCTGGCAACACCAACTCCTCCAGTCAGGGTCATCAGGCTGGCCGCAAGAACTCACTAGACTCGGAGATAAGCGTTAGCGTGCGACACGTGTCTGTTGAATCGCGACGCAAT